AGCCAGGGCTTTCCTGTTTATAAAGGCCTGAGTTTAAAAGGAAATTCATTGCTAATCAGTCACCATTACCAAGCACCACAGGACCCCTGTGCAGCCAGGAAGCAGGGGGTGGAGAAGGTGGAGGGGAGGACTCATTATCCCTGCCTTGAACTAGGATTTTATATTTTATATATATATTTTTAATTTTTGTAAGATGTTGATGGATCTTTATTTTATTCACTTATTTCTATGTGGTGCTGAAAATCCAACCCAGGGCCTTGCACATTCTAGGCAAGCGCTCTACCACTGAGCCACAAACCCAGCCCCAAATTTCATAGTCTTGACTCTGGTTGTCCATATTTCCCTTTGATTAGCTGCTTTGTAATATAAAGTATTACATGTGACACTGAACACAAGAATCCAAGTAGTGGAGTTTTCAAGGGAAAATAAAGTGTGCCCCATCCCAAGGTAAGCACTGGAAATGACATGTGCCCAGAGACACTCCAGCCCTGTGAGCCCGGGAATCTATTCATAAAGCCTCTCAACCTTCCCACTGGTGTGGACAGGTAACATTATTTCTCCCTCTGAATGGGTTGTGACATCCTATGGTTCCCTCAATAATTAATGAGGAAAATACAAGTATCCTTTAGCACTCATGTTTATGTAGCTTAATCAGAGTTACATACTTGTATAAATGTGTAATATGGGGTTGAAATTGGGACATAAAAGTGCAACTTCCCCTTTTCTAAAAAACTTTTATGAAAGTTGCTTTTTCAGGCCTTGAGACTTAGAGAGCAGAGAGGAACTAAAAGACTTCAAGGATGAGAAGCTGAGGAATACGTTCCTGAAAAATAGGGAATTGTGGACCTGGGTTAGAAGCCAGGCTGCAGCTGCAGGAGGGAGCATGGGGTCAGAGAGACCAGTGCACTTACAAAGTACCCAGAGGTTCCACCAGGCCCAGGGCACCTGGTGTGGACCATGCCACCAAGACCCCCGACTCCAGCCAGCCTGGCTTCTGTTTCTCATCCCTGACTTAAGTCCCTTCCTGCTCCCTGGGGAGACACAGTGTGCCTCCTCTCTCCTTGTCAGGGGAGCGACTGTGAAGTTCTTTCTTCTTGCAAAACCTGGTGCCATGTTGGTTTCTCTGGGCATGGACAGCAGGCGCTTGCTGGGTGTCAGTACAGTGGTGGTCAGTACATTTAAGTGC